AAAGAAGACGGCGTAATATCTCGACTAATAATTATTGCAGCTCAAGATCGAATAGGTGAGGCGAAGTCTAAGTCAGTGTCAGGCTGTAGATGGCACAAAAGGGTAGCATTTTAGCCCAATCCCGAAAGACCACCCTTTTTGTTTTCTCTGCATTCAATTGGTTTGGGATAATCTATAGTGTCGCCAACCGCGAAAGAAGCGTCAAAACGCTACTTATCACCACTGCAATATGAAAGCCTCATAATACGATTGATATCCATATGATGAATTCGACGACTAGACAATGTTGTAAATAGTGACAACCTGCCATGTCGTCATATGTGTGATCAAGGCTAAGATTAACAGTATCACTCCGGCGGAATGGTCATCGTCAACGCAACTATGCAGATATTAATGACCGACGTACCTTTCTTATTCTGATTTGCCGCCTATATTCCCATAGTTGGACCTTCCAACTGAAAATCTTCCATGTTACGCATTATTGTTCCTTCCATAGGATTCGCTCGAGTGTGTACACTAACAACGACCTGTGGACGTTCCATCAAAGTATGTGATCATCACATTAACGAAGTAAAGGCTTCCTTTGAACAACTTCACGATTAGTATGATGACTAGTCTCTAGTAGGGTGGTCAGATTTTTACAATCACAACTGTTGTTGTGACTTTGTGTATGTGGAAGGCCTTAAGAAGGAAAGCAGCATTGTCCCATGCAACTTCTCGGCAGCCGTAATTCAATTCAGGACGCTGACCGAGAAAGGTGGGCCTGAGCAGGTTGTTCTACTTGTGTGTGTCATCAGTCATTCCATCTTGTGTGTGTGATCGGAGTCTGGAGACCATGGGATCACTGTATGAACGTTCAACCTTTAACTTGTACTTTTTGAAATATAAAAGTTATAACTTTTATTTGGGACAAAATAATATATATAATTTTCAAAACTGCACTTGAGAATTTGTCCTATAATTTTTTAAATTGGGCATAATAGCCAATCAGCAATTGTATTGCACTCAACCTGACACCATACAGTTGGCAGTTGGTAGCTTTGCGCGCCTAAAAACAGGACAAAACAAGTTGACACACTGACCTGAATAATTCACGAACTGAATTTAAGAAGGGCTCATAAAGGTAGAAAAGGTGTCCTTTTTCAACGTTAAAAAAACATACAAAAATAAATGCTTTTAACTTTTAGCTGGAGACTGTAAGTCAGTGTGACTGTGTGTCAGCAAAAAAAACTGTTGTCGAGTTTCGTTGTTTTATCAAAAAGCTTGTTGGCCAATAGGCAATAGCTAGTAGTTTTTTATGTATCAGTTTTATAATTTTTATCTTTTTATGAGTACAACCACAGACTACAGACTACAGTCTACAGAGTACACAACCTAGAGCACTCAAAGTCACAGAGTGCGACATTCCAGCAATTCTCATAAATGCTTGTCTGTTGCTGACTTGTCGGTGACTCGGTGATCTATTGACCCCCCGATGAATGATGAGAGCGGCGGTTTAATTGGGACTTGCCAGACTTTCACACAACAAGAGCAACAATTCAATATTCAACTCAAGAGACCTAAAATTTTAAATACAACTATAAATATTGGACACTCGTTGTTTTGCAGAATATGTCTCGCGTGTCCTATTTATCGCAGGGCCTTGTGAGAGGCGGGACTAGAACGGCGCGAGACGAACGGTGTCACTGGAGACCGGAGTCACCAGTGACCGGCAGATTTTTATTTCTATAAAATTAGTATTAGTTGTTGGGAGGGATGGTGGGTCTCTTTTTCTCTGGTAGTTTTGTGGACTGTTGTTCTTTGTCCTATTTGAGTCCCCTTTTTATACGCGAAACTGGTGTCATCTTTGTCTGTAAGATGTCCGTTTGGTGTCATCTTTGTCTTGTCGGATGTCGGACGTCGGACTGTTGACACTTTGCACGAAATAGGAGGACCTTAGGACTCGGCTCCAAAAACTCCAGAGCTTCCCCTATTTTTAGTTTTGGGACACAAATGTTCAGGGTAAATTTATGGTTCAATTGGAATCTAATATTTGCCACCTGGTTTTTAGCTGATCTGTTTTTATGGTATTTTTGAACTCCTCTGATGAAGGGCTCCCACTTTTAAAATTAAAATAAAAATAAACGTGAAGCATGACTCACCGCCAGACTTCAATACATACGTGCTTCATCTATGGTGAAAACGTAGTCCGTTTTACGTTAACGCTTAGTTTTGAAACCGTTTTCCCGTTTTCTGGTAGTATACAGGGAGCCAGTTCTAAAAACCAATTTTGCTTGGTTGCACGTTATATGGCCCAATTAATAGCTGGTATGTTTTCACAGTAGAAAATCTGTCCAACTACATAAAATCAAATATTTTGGTAAAATTTGGCGGGTTATGCCAAATATAAGGGCGGGCACAAAACTAAACCCCTATAACGTATGAACGTGTTGACGTATTACGAATAGAAGTCTGCTCACCGCACAGTGCGGCGTGAGCTGAGCTCGGTATTTTTCATAGTCTAAATATACCTTTTTTTTAATTTATTTCTGAACAATCTTCCCATAAAAAAATTTTAACGCCCGAGCCGCGTCTAAAACCGCATCCGGTCCATTCGCAAAGGCAGGGTCGATATTTATGGGCCCACGTAAGGCGACGCGAGTACACTTAACAAAATCATTTCTTCACCGAAACAACGGTCAAGTATCAGTTTTCGGCACATAATCTAAACCTATCACCTGAAATAGAATACAACGCCTCAGACTAGAGAGAGCCAATGTTCTGTTAAACCTGTGAGCGTGAATTCGTGGATCCATACTTCTGAATATTATAAAACAATATCTTTTCATAGCCTTCTAATTATACATAGCCAACTGATAACTATGAATTATACAAAAAGAAAAGAAGGCTATGTAAAATATGATCGTTTAGTTTGCACAATTGCACTGTAGTTCAACAATGTTGAATTCGGTTTTGTCCCGTTCTGTTGTAAATTTCAGATCCATGGGATTTTGTCCTGTTCTGTGATTTCATTACAGTCATACCTCTTTATATGTCCAGTTCCCGGGATTGACAAATATTTGGATATATAAAGAGGTAAGACAAGTCTGGGTCAGTTTCATACCATCAGGTTCGGGTTCCAACCTATGGGAGTATGGGTCACACCAGGAGGTATTCTAGGCGCTCTCATTAAATATTTCTTCCCTTTCGTGACGATCAAGCCCTGACTTGCACTAAAACCAGCTTCTAACCTTATTTACCGACCATCTCAATCAAACGCTTCTCGAACTCGTGATGTGTTCCTCTCCTTTCTCGATATATCTTTTTCGCATGTACCTCGTAAGACTGACTGAGTATCTTCTCTCCAAACTCCATGAACCTTCATATTGTTTTGATACCCGCACTGCCTCCTTAACTAAATCCTTACGATAGCTGTCTTTCCATGATAGGTCTAAGCTGTATCCCGCTTTCTGGATTGTACGCACGATGACACCTTTAACTTTGTTTGTTAGATTGATTCTATTCGTTGTATTGGAGCTCACTATTGATAATACAGTCTGTTTATATGTTTTCTTCTTCTTACCAACAGTGAGCTTATCTATCGTTGTAGGTGTGTTTTGTGTCAATTCGTCTGGCTCTGTCTGTCTGTTATTAGTGAAACCAGACTTCCACACGTCATCCGGTGGCTGGCATTTATCTGTAGACTGGCAGTAACCGATTGAATTTGAGCCATACCCCTCATCAAGATGCACGCCACATAAGGCATGCATACTTCGATCGCAACCAGCACATTTATATACACCACCCACTGGATGCGCTGTATTGCATCCTTTCGCACAACAGCGTTCACCACTAGAAGTGTCTCCCATCAGGATCTATTGTAGTTCGTACTCTAGTGTATGTATTATAGATAAAGCTACCGTTTTAGTCAAGCTGAGGTGAAAGGTGAAATATTCACAATGGCCGGAGCACTATGATGAACAACACAAATTTTAAAAAGAGCAATTAGAGCTCCTGATTAGCTCAGTTCCAATCAGTGATATTAATAGTCGGGCGTCCAAGAGCAAGCTGCAGGACCGGTCTAAAAAAGACCTGACTTATATATAGGGGGTTGGCCAAAATAGAAATTGAACATATAAAGAGGTAGACACCTTAAAGAGGTGGACATGTAAAGAGGTATGACTGTAACCGCAAATATTATTTAGAACATAAATTCAAAAAGAAATTACTCGGTTCATATACAATTAAAAAATATACAAAGGAATACTAGCTAAGGCTCGGGCATTATTCATATATAGTGACGGGTGTCGTATAGACAAAGTCGTTTTCCAGCCTTCTTCCAAATTTTTAAACAAAAAATATAAACCCTAAAACAACACCTATAGCCTAAAGGCTATTTACACCCTAAATACAGTCTAAATACACTGGCCTATTCGGATAAAAATGCCATTTTTCAAAAACAAGAACCCATTTCTAGTTTTTCACACATGATTTTTGTCTAATTTATAATAGAAGGCTACATACTGTACGTCATCCAGAATGTGATTTTCATTTTATAAATTTATTTACTTTTATTTGTATTTTCTTTTATATTTTATAGTATTTATTACCGCCTCTCTACTCTAGTAGAGAGTAGAGGCGCTTATGGCAAAATACAGGGTAAATCAAGTGCGAAAGATGTTTTCTATTTAGAAGAAGTCCATGGCAAAAAAAAGTGTATTTATACATATCTATCTTATTTATTTGTTTGTTTTTTTGAAAAAACCCAAATAAGAAAATTATATTAAAGTTGCCTCCTAAAAAATAGAACACCCCACAAAGAAGACTGACAGCCACCCCAAAACCAGAAACCTCGACAAAAAAAATGTGACCCACAAAGAATACTCTACTGCGTCCTCAAAACCTCGTGCCAAATCGACCCATAAACAAACAAAGAATTCCTTCATTTCGTTGTCGGAATGAACAACACCCAGTATTGATAGTGAATGTTTACCCTGTCGCCATGGTGTTTAATAACCACGTTTCTGTATCAAATACACCGTAACAGCGCCTCATACTTCACAACATATGAGGCACATGTCGGGTGAGAATACAATCACGTTGGCCTCGGTAGCCATAGAGGTCTTTAAAAAATGGAGTGTAGTACGAAACCATCTGATGCACCTCACATTGAGTGTGAAAACGCTCAAAACAGTGCAAGTATGGAATCAAGTGTGCCCAACAGCATCGACCAGACACACAAATCGAATCCGAAGTTACGTGCGGCGGTGTGTCGTAACGGGATGATAACGTTTTTTCATCAGCACGCATCGGAAGACCAGATGACGGAAGAAAATACGATGCCGGTACGCAATTTACGCAATGATGCGACACATAGGGAAGGTCCATGGGCAATTTGGCAACGTATTCTCTCTACCAGGGTTTTCAGCAGTCATGACTTTCAGATCCTAAATCGTTATCTGTTTGTTTCCAATATACTTTGCAACGGTCTAACCTATGGCGTGTTGTTTGGCGTTTGCTTCATCGAGACGAGTACCAACATTAACAACGACTACCAGAAAACGGTGGTTTTAATTTGTTCCCTCTGTGCTGTGTCAGTTTTATTTCTCCAGCTGATGTGTACAGCCATATACATGCTGTACAAGCGCGACCACTACTTTGTGAGAAGTCGTGGGGTTGTCTACATAGCAACCATAGCAATATGTGCGTGGCTGATCGGAGTTTTCCACGCGTGGATGACATTTGTTTATCTGGGGTTTTTCCATCAACCTAACTGGTTGATGATCATTGACGCCTGTGCGTCACAAGCCTTCGTGCTAGGAATTCTGGGCGCAATGTCCGCACATCAACGCTTAGTTTACTTTTTATGCAAAAAATATATTTACCGTGACGATATACCAAAACACTTATTCATCAGTACATTCACCCTTGCCGTGTTGTGGGATATGCTCGTGGTAGCAGCACTTGCAGTGATAGCGATTTTTAATCGACCGAACTGCAGGGCATACCTGGACACAATCGCGGTGGTCGGCATTCATTTTGCGTTATTCTGGTTGATGAAATACTCGATTAAATCACGCTCGATTAGACCGGCATATTCCGATGCTGGCTCAAACATTGTGCTGTCGGTCGTCATCAGCGCAGTATCTGTCACTGTGTACATACTTCAACAGACAGTTTTGCATAATACTGCCATGTGCCGCTTTAAGGCGGCCAAGCATTATCCGCTTCCAGGCATGTATCTGCGGTTCTATTCTGAACTATTTTGCAGCAGCATTGCAGTCGTACAACTCTTTGGTCTTATCGCTGTTGTAGTGTATTTTGAATTGGAGCCCACCAGAGACATGGACCCACGCCAATCAGCATTGACAAATATATGGACGAGGAATAGCAGGATTATGGTGTCCGTGGGGATTGCTGTCGGAACACAACCTACGCCACCGGAAGCGGGACAAACAAGCGAGCAAGCTATCAACTTGAGAACCCGTACCTGAAGTAATGAAGCGGCAACGGCTGCGAATTGCGTACTTGTTTCGTCTATGTATTTTGTTTGACGCTTGAAGGTGAAGGATGAGATAGTATAGTGCGACGGACACGAGATTTTCATCTGCATACTTTTAAGGCGGAGAAGTGAATATAAAATTTACATTGAATATGTTTATTTGAAATTCAAGGCGGGGTAGGGAGGATTTCTAATCACAATCAGTTGACAAATAATTTGTGAAATATCACTACCCGCAGATCGGCATGAATTGAGCTCGGTAGGAAAATGGATTGTCGGTATTTTAAAATTAAATTGTACCGATCTCATATATTTATAGTTGTCCCGACCTAATTTATATTTAACAAAATACACTCCATGTTGATATTCAAGTGATACTGATTATTGTTTTTCAGTTACCTCTTCACAGATTTAAATCAATACTCATAGTTTAGCTCCGAAATTGATAATTGTGTATTTGTAAATATTGAGATATTGCATATTTGAAATTGCATAGCCTTTTTTATATGACATAAGGCTATGAAAATTGTTGTTGTGATTGAGATATACACTTGCAATATTAGCACCCAATCAAATACAAGGTTCCAAAACGTCAACACTGTTCATTTGTTTGAAGTGTCGAGACTCTAGACCATCAGCGGCATCGATCAGCTTGTGGCGAAATTGTGAGTACTGTTGTTTGAATTCGTTTTACTATTATGTGCTCACTGTGCCGATCTGGACGCATCGATGAAGAGGAGGTAAGCAAGGAGCTTTTTTGACTTCGTTTATTGTTATACAATTAATATGCACAAGGAAGGCAAAAGTATTAGGCTGGATGCCGAACTTAATACAGATATGCTCATCTCACTGATATACATGAAGAGCTGCTCGTACTAGATTTGTTTAGACTTTAATACCGCCCTCGATTTTAGGTATGAAGAGGTGCGAAGTTAGGAAAATGTACTAAGCATGAGGGAAAAAAAATATAAAAGTTTGATATGTCAGATCTTTTTTTTTATTCTATCTTACACACGGATGCATACTGAGATACACTGCGGGTCTGTCAGCTGGCGACCAGATTTTTCAGTTATCACAAGAAATCCGCCACTAATAAAATACAACACGAAATTAAATTCAAGTTAATTTCATGTGAAAGGGGACTGCATACAGTGCCGAAGTGCTTGGCAATGTGCTTTCGTCCCTTCAATCATTATATGAAACGTAGTCAATATATATCAAGTTCCAACTCGTCAATTCCTTCCAATAATGAAGAGCACCACCCCACATTCCCGAACACAAACTGCAACAATTTACTACCAAAAACGACTTTCGGGTTATTTCTTATCATACACGAGGCCATACGCTCTGCTGCTTGTATTCAAGTCGGGAAGCGGCTTCGCAAATCCAGAACCGTTTAATAAATTTCTCGTAGCTGACCGGGTTAATACTATCTACCGCCATATCGTTGTGCAGTTGAGATCACGATGGCAGTTAGCGCTGATTGCCTTAAATACTTATCGTCTGAACATTTTTAGGCTCTGTATGTAAACGACAGAACAACGAAGTTTAATTTAGCTATGACAATAAAGAAAAATATTCTCTTTCGCAATATAAACTTCCTATCCACCTGAGCTCCGAAACAACCTAACCCTCTCACTTGTTTGTTCGTGATAGAGAGACATAAAGAGATTGCACCTGGAAACGTTATGCTTATCCCGTCTAAAATACAAGCACCAACTTCCAATAGCGATTGTGCCTTAGTGCGGTGACAAGCATACACTTATACTGGCTTGGATATCTCAATCTTTAATGAAAACATACCTGCTGTTTAATGGTCGTGCACTGAGAAGTGTGCATGGAGTGCATCAGACGTAGATCAGTTCAACCAGTGCAATAAATCTACCTGTCGATCAGTACGCATAGGGTTTCGAATAGCTGCGTTTTGAACACGAAATGACCGCACGGAATAAGCGCACAGATGCTGAGCACCGCCGTTCAACAAACGTGCTAACTCAAAAATGGTCACCAGTAAAACACATGTATTTGAAATCAAATTATTAAAGATTCATACCCGAGTTCGAAGACCAGATAACTGATTCCTTGTCCTCTCGCTTGACGATTCTGCGGAGTCCATCGGTTTATTCGCTCCATTCGACAGTACCATCGGTATATCCACTCAGGCGCGTAGCAGTTTGATCCTTGCCGTCGTGAGGGCTCGGTAGGCGACACTTCTTCGATTTTGTACCAATTCACACACACAATACACGACACACACCACGCATATATCTGTACGGATATATCTCTCACACATGAAGAAACAACAGATGTTTAAACTATACTTACACTAAACAAATGCAACGACTCTATGGAGCCAAAATAGGCACACACACACGTAGATCCATGTACAAGCGATCCGTTTTACTAAAAACTGACATACCAGGTCACGTCTATGACACCACTTTTTGGAATTCTCGCCGTTCAGTTTTACCTGTTTGTTGGTTTAGGAATGCGAGCCCAGTGATAGATTTAGGCTGGATGTATCGGTATTAGCTTTCATTATTTTTATTCTGTCGTAGGATATAGACTGAACTTTGTGGAGGGACCAGCGAACTGCGATCCATTAGCTGAGTACTTAATAAAGCAGCAAGTCCCAAAATGATTGACAAGAATGTGTTGAGTTAAGCTACAGCGAGATAGTCATACTCCATCGGTACTCGCCGTATTAGAATCGGCAACAAGACAATGTAGATTCGACTCTATATAGACATTGTGGGTAGTCAGCATCCCTAAATTATCAGTAGACCAATATATCTAGACTAGAATAACGGCCATTACGTTCACATACACTCATGTATAGTTGCGTATAGAAAAGACAATGAAGCTCACCTCCAGCCAGGCATTATATGCCGCCAGTAGTGTCAGGGGATCTCCCTGGGTGGAATCAAACTCGTGTCTGGCATCGTACTCTTCACCGTAGCTGCTTGTCGATTTTGTACATGTTAGATTTATAGTAGTAGTCATATAATGAACTGCGTCTCACTAGCGCATGTACAGAACTATAGATGATTGATTACAGGTGAACGCATATAAGAGCCCTAGTCCCAACGATCCGCGTCTCCAAAAGGTAGGCAAGCTCCGTGGTGAGTAGAGCAGTCAAATATGTTGTTATATGATGTTATTGTACAGAGTAACATGCACGCACAAAGACTGTTCTGGTGAGTATTTTCAAACTCTTGGAATGTAACTATATGCGTTTTAGTGCGGACAATTAAAACTAAACGAGAAAGCGCAATGTAGTGAAACAAATTATCCGGCCCGAAACCTGGTAGTCAAATCTGACAGGGCGCCTTTACAAGAATCAAACATGAACTTTGCTTGCTTGTTATATGCAGGTACAATGGAATCATCTTCCGAACTACACTGCTCGATATTTCAACCAGCTTGCTGTGAAGGCAAATTTCTCCAGGAGAAAGTTTAAAAAATGTTCCATTTACAAGATTTCTCGTGAAAGGTACTTCATAAAGCGTTCAATTTTCGTATTTACAAGACTGCAATCGTGCGCCCATTTGACCGTAATATGATAGTAGCAGATATCTGCACCGCGCTAGGAATACTAGTTTCGGGCAACACTCATGGCCATAATCGCATACCAATCGCTCAATAAGCGCTAAAGCCTACAAAGTACAACCTGAATTTTGACGCACAATACCGAGTACATACAAATAGCCGAAGGGTACCACAAACAAAATACTGAGATGCATCCGGAAGAAGTCCAACAACCACTTTAACCACACACTGAAAATATATATGTATATATATATATATGAGTCAAACAGAATAGATGCTTGCTTTACCTGGGTTGATGATTCAGCGAAAAGGGAGACTGAACCGAAAAGAGCGCGGCGACGGCTAGCAGGTTGCTGCTCACATGGAAAGTTGTGCCCATGACAAGCATCTTACCCAGAGAGACTGTTTTTAGAACACGTGTTGATATAAGGTAGAAATGTGATACAGTCGTGGGTATGTATAGGATATTCCATTTACGATAGATGCGACCTGCGGCGGTGGCATAGTACGATGTAACGGCATTCAATAGTACCCGGGAGTACGCACATATCAATAACATAACGGCACACATGCACAAATTGTTTGGTGTCAACTGCGCAAGATTTCGCATTAGATTCATCAACACTTGATTCTATGCGAAATCAACACTATGCAGTTTTTAGATTTCGAGAATAAACTTACCATCAATAGGTAGTCGGGCCAGCACGCGACCCAAAATCGAGATGCGCTCTGTGTGCATAAGCAGAGCGCCATGCTGAGTGAATGAAGGGCGGGGAAAGTAAATATGCAATAGAACGGAGTGACGCATATCGGGTGTGCCAAATTTCTATGCGCGATTGATGTGGGAGAAGGACTGAATTGGTATTGCAAAGTCCTGCGGACCTATCTAACCAGGCTTACTAAGCAGAACGTATACTATGTTTTTACTAAAATAAGCCGGGTTGGTTGCTAGTTTGATCCGTTCAAAGGACTCTTGGATATCTGTGCAATGTAAATTACAAAAGTAGAAAAAGGAGAACACCATACAGAAGGCAACATAAGCATTAAAACAACAACTTTTTTCCTTTACACAGTTGACAACGTTAGTTGATAGGAGGTACTGCGAAGCTTGAAGCCTACACACCCACAGAAACGATACTTACATCTACTAATCGCTCCAAAGATCGCTCGATCGCCTCGTCAGAAGGCCGCTCAACAAAATCGAATCGCCGTGGATTAACATCGTCGTCAGCTAATGCCTTCATCTGTGTTTAACGAATGTCAAGCCATTTTCAGAACAAGGTAAGGTCTTAATATATATATATATATATATATATATATATATATATATAT